AATGCAAATTTATTGTTGTATAATTTGTTAGGTGAAACATGTTAAAATTCCTAGTACCAATTGGAGAGTCTTCAAACAATTCTACTGAAGAGACTAAAAGGGCAAAACAATCTCGAGTTGAATTTATTTCCCTCAGTAGTTAGTTTGCTATTCAGATGTCAACATTATGTTTTCCATCACTCTTTTTTATACATGGGAAATTAAAGGAAAGTTTTCTAATAGTTTGAATTTAGATAATCATATGTGTTTATTTTCAAAAATTCTGATTTTTTAATCAATTGCTTGTTACACAGATATTTAGAGGACGTGAAAACGTGCAAACCGTCCTGTACAAAAAAAAAATCTTATTGGTCCTGTTTGTTTTTTAGCGGATTGCTACCTAACTGCTGTATTTTGCAATTAAAATTTATCAGCGGTTTGCTCAAGCCGCTACTATCCAAACGGGGGCATTATATTTTTTTGTCTTTTCTCAGCGCCTTCTAAAATAAAGTTCTGGTTCCGCCACTGCTTATTTGGTAAAGTTTGTGTGACTCAAAATCATTTTTACTTTATTCTTACTTTATTAATTAATATCAACCACACAAACCCACTTTTCTTATAACTCGTGCCAGCCTCTTCCGTCCCAATATAAAAGAGACAGAGGTAGTATATTTTTGTGACAGGGATTAGAAGTTTGGATTATTAGTGCAAAAGTTTGAAGTAGAGATTATTTTTGTTTAATTGATGGAAGTATGGATTATTTTTGTCAATTTCGCGTAAAAAATTGAATAACATTATCTAATAGCACATCAATTAAGATTTAGAACTTCTCTCTTGCATGTCATGGAAATCATCGATAATTAATTGAATTTTGTATATAAAGAGTCTTAAAGTATTGCCAATAAAATAATCAACTTGTTACGATTTGATACAAAACTAAATTCTCGATTATTACTATGTACATAAGAATAATGATTTTGAATAGTACTCCATAATAGTTTTGATTAAAAAGTGTATTTTGTGTAATAGAAAAGGTAAAAATAGTTTGTACGTTTTCAACTATTAACTCTAAAACGTTTAATTTAAGTATAGACATCTATTTGTAAAAGCTCATACTAACTTTGAATTTAGAAGTTGAAAGTATCTTAGCTTCTTAAGAAAATACATCTTTTATAGTCAAACTCGAAATTTCCCCTATCTTTTTGGGGGGAAATTCTAGATTACATGAATAAAAACTATTTGCAACTCAATTTAAATTAAACTTTAATTTAATTTAAGTTGATATAAACGACAAAATAATTTTTTTTAAAGAACCCCACAAAATATGCTATACTTAAGGTACATAATACGGAGTATTTGCTAAGAATCCATTGTGACATACCGACAAGCGGCCTAACAAAAAACTAAACAACTACTCCCTCCGGTTTTTATTAAACTTCACACTTTGACTTCACACAAAATAAGAAAAGAAATTTGACTTTACTGTAGAGTACATTGTTGAGACACTGTTTGACACTGTTTGGCACTGTAGAGACACTGTTTAGCACTGTTGAGACACTGTTTGACACTGTTTGACACTGTTTTGATGTAGATTTCTTTGACAAAAAAGGAAATAAGAAAGTGTGAAGTTTATTTTAGACCGTTCCAAAAAGGAAAGTGTGAAGTTTATTAAAAACCGGAGGGAGTATTTTTTTAAAAACCTAAACACTACTACTACAGAAAAATAAAAAATCTGGGGGGCATGGCCTCCTTGACCATGAATGTACATCCGCCCCTACTAGTATAGGGAGAACTGCATAGTTCCCCAGTACGTGAAGAATCCAGAAAAAAGGCTTATTGGGGACAGAGTAATTAAAAGATAACCCCCACCCTGCTAAAATTGTCCTATTTTTAAGCAGTCTCACTAAATTTGTCCCTTACTAAATTTAGAAAGGTTTGTGCGATTCTAATAAAGATATTTTTACTTGTACTGAATTTTTTTGGTATGTTTAAGTCTAGTTTGTTTAAGTCTTGTATGATCTTGTCTAAATTGGTCTAGTCTAAATTGGTCTAGTCTGATCTGGTAGATGTTTAGTCTGTGTGTATTTTATAACCGCGGAACTTTGTGTTTAACCTGATCTGGTAGATGTCATTATTACTTTATTCTTAATATATCAATTCAATATTAACCACATAAACTCATTTTTCTTTATAACCGCATGACCGCATTAACTACAGTACAACAAAAGAATAAAAAACGTAGTAATAAAGTATAATTGTATTATAGCAATGCTAAAATTTCAAACAAAATACATCACAATTATTCGCACCAAGTTTTCATCTTCTGGAAAAGATCCAATTTTTTTTTATTACATTGATACGGAGTACATTTTATTTAACATATACGGAGTACTTCGTAATTTACAATTTATGATTTTTACTTATTAAATGACATTTTCTAATAAATGTAAGATAGAAATTAGACTCTAATAGATACATAGTACTCCGTATATAATTTTGAGGTAACTCATCAATTAAATTAAATTGTATAGATGTACACCAATAAATTAAATCTTATAGACGTATCAGATTTAATCGAATGGATTTAATCCAATTGGTGTACACCCAAACCAACAATGTCCAATTGTCCACTATTCATATTTATACTTTATATATACTCCGTATCACTTTAGAGTTTAAACAACTTAACCAACACAGAGAGACACACAAGTTTAAGTGACTACCCGCAATACATAATTCATTAATGGGTTGTTGGGGGCAATCAGTTTCTCTAATTGGGGGCAAAAATTTAGATTTTAAATATTTATTAATAAATTATATGGATTAGTAGGATTTTAATAGATCCGCGTCTGGAGTTCCCTATTACTATCGGAGTGCACTAAGGATCAGCTCTGAGTCCTTTGATGTAGTCATGGATGAACTTACGAAGTAAATTCAAGAAGAAATACCGTGGTGCATGATGTTTGTCGACAATATTGTATTGATTGATGAGACACAATCGGGTGTTAAAGCAAAGTTGGAAGTATGACAACAAACATTGGAGACCAAGAGTTTTAGACTGAGCCAAAACAAGACTGAGTATATGAAATGCAAGTTTGGTGGAGGTGGAAGTAGTAACGACAATCAAATTACTCTTCATTAACTAGTTTTGTATAACTTTAAATATCTTCATAAATATGTACACATGTAATGAATATTTTTCGTACATTCTTTAGCTACTTTCCTACTCGGTATTTGATATGAATGCATTGGGTAAAGTACAACTTTTCACCGCGTAATCAATACTTTCACATGTGAATGATTCTACATAATCTATATCTATTTCTACATTTCACATGATTTACATGTCTTACTTTTCTTATTAGCTTATAAAAAAAGTTTCATATTTCTTTTTTCGAAAGAAATATGTGGCCCACATCACTTCAATTATTATACTTAATTTCAACCATAACTTTTACTTCTCAAATACTCTGTGCTTTATTAGTAATTGTGTCAATCTAACAGAAGACACATAAAATGGGCGGAGGTAGTATATACTCCCTCCGTCCCTTAAAAGGTTTGTCATGTTTGACCGGCACGTAGAATAATAAAGTAAAAACTGTGTGGTAGATATTTGTGCGGATGAGAGAGAACTAACAGAAGTCACAAATTGATTGATTAAAAAGGAAAGTGACAAAGTTTTTGAGACAACCAAAAAAGGAAAGTTGACAAAATTATAAGAGACCAAGTTAGTATCTACTTCAACATCTCATACTAGTATAATATATGCATTATTAAGAGTCTGTTTGATAATATCGAAATTTGTTAAATAGGTTGAACCACCTTAAATTGATGAAATTCTTGTTCAAGCAACTGAATTGTGAAAAAGTACATTTTATAAGCTTTCTTAATGAAATAAAGAAAAAAAGTACATGAAAAAAACTAAATTGGTCATTTACATCCAGAAAAACAATCATAACCGTACTTAGTTTTATTATAAAAAGAATTGAGCATGTACAATAAAAAATTCACTATTTGATAAAAATGGAGGTTTTCCTAAAGTATTACTAATTAAAAAATCTTTGGACAAAATGTGGCTATAAGATATTATGAGCAAATTTTATAATCATTATGGTAATATTTGAATACAATTATACTCACTAAAGTTACTTGAGTCACATTTTTTCACTACTTTTACTTTGGATATATATTTGAAGAGAACTCTTCTTGTCACGCCGGCCTGACGGGAACCTCTGTCCGGCCGAGCCCGTTTGGGCACATTCCCGATGGAATTTTTTGATGAAATTTTTAATTTTTTGAGCATGTTCCTCATCAAGTCTAATTTGTCCATACGAAATTTCAGCTCAAAATTCGATCGGGAAGGCATTCAAATCTTTTTTTGAAGTTGACTGCGTCAAAATATACATATAAAAACGCAGTCAACTTCAAAAAAAGATTTGAATGCCTTCCCGATCGTATTTTGAGCTGAAATTTGGTATGGACAAATTAGACTTGATGAGGAACATGCTCAAAAAATTTCATCAAACAATTCCACCGGGAAGGTCGCCAAAAGGGCTCGGCCGAACGGCTCTCCCGGTCAAGCCGGCCTGACATGATGATTTCTCTATATTTGAATAATTTCAAAAATAAATACTCCGTAGCCAACAAGTTTGATAAGGCCAAAAGAGTTATTAACAAAAGGCCTCAAATTATATTAGGTAGATTCTATGGTACCCATAAGGTACTATACCTTTGTATACATGAACCAATGAGAATGTAGCAGTTGAATTATTTAAATCTAAATTAAAAATGATAAAGTGATTTGGTCCAATCAAATGAATGATAGGTACGGTACCCCATATTTTAGAAAGGTACCGGAGTTGTCACCATTATATTATCCGAGGTTTGACTCAAAGTTTGACTGTTTGAGACACTACACAGCTCACCAAATGGTCAACCACACAATGGCGACTGAAACCACGTTTTTTGGTTTGAATCAATCATTTCACACAATCGAGATCTATCTCCTTTTTATTTGAATCATTTTCTACCCACTTCAAATAGAGTATTGGTGTCCCCCTCCTACACCTCAAGTTGTTTGCTTCTGAATGTAAGAGCTATTAGTACTCAAGTTAGAAGAGTAACATGTCTTGCGATAACATCTTCAACGGAGATAAGGTGCCATTATTATCAGACCATTCATCCTCCGACATCCAAAGTAGAAATGGCGATCCTCATATACACCAACAACAACAAAACTTGTCACAGAGGTTTTGGATTGAATCAAAGAAGCTATGGCAGATTGTGGGCCCGGCCATCTTCAGCCGCATCGCTTCTTATTCCATGTTCGTCATCACCCTGGCATTCGCCGGCCATCTCGGCGATTTGGAATTTGCGGCCATGTCAATTGGCAGTAATGTCGTCGTAGGCTTTGATTTTGGCCTCATGGTAGGTGGATGCTTTATTTCTGACATATGTCCTGTATAGTGTTTTATTGTTTTTTAACTTTTCGGTTTGAGACAAATAATTTAACAAAATTTGAACTAATAAAGTCCTATATAACTAATTTCTTTTGAAATTAGTTGGGAATGGCTAGCGCTCTCGAGACGTTATGCGGGCAAGCATTCGGGGCAAAGAAGTACAACATGCTGGGAGTATATCTGCAACGGTCATGGGTGGTTCTGTTAATATGTTGCGTTGTGATGATGCCGCTGTTCATATACGCCACGCCGTTGCTGAAGCTTTTGGGGCAGCCCGACGACGTGTCGGAGCTTTCGGGCGTGGTGGTGATGGCTTTCATTCCGCTGCACTTCTGCTTCGGGTTACATTTCCCGCTGCAGAGGTTCTTGCAGAGCCAGCTGAAGAATTCGGTGATTGCTTGGGTGAATTTGGTGGCGTTCGTTGTGCATTGTCTGGTGAGCTGGTTGATCGTGTCTCGGTTCCGGCTCGGAGTCGTAGCCATCGCCATGACCTTGAACTTCTCTTGGTTCCTCATCTTATGTGGGATGTTTGGCTACACCGTCTGCGGCGGATGCCCCCTCACCTGGCCCGGTTTCTCCGTCCAAGCTTTCTCTGGTCTTTGGGATTTCTTTAAACTCTCTGTTTCTTCCGGAGTTATGCTCTGGTATGCTGATATGCTCTCTTTTTCAAAATCAATATTTTTAGTATAAGACCATAAGATAAACATCAAATCCAAAAGATTAGAGAAAAAATATTATCAGAATAAAACTTAAAACAAAAATATGACTAAAGTGGGTTACTTTAATAATCATGTAAAATTTGAATGTAAGATTTGAATGTAATCGTAGCTATTAAAAGTGACTAAGAGCCTATTTCATAAAATTAGAATCACTTAATCTCATAAAATTGATGGAATTATGACTGAAGCGGCCAAATGTTTGCCTGGTTAAGCTTATCCACATTCTTTTTACTGTATTAAAAACTTTATCATTTTCCACTATGATTTTCTTTAGAAATCTACATATTTCCACACAATTACATATAATTTCACACTTCACTAGAAAACTTCACAATGTTCTAGGATATTCTACACTCTTTCATACACTTCTAGAAAATTCCAAGTCTCCGTGGAAAGCTCAAGAATATTCCAGAATATTCAATACATTATTTCTACACACATCTAGAGAATTCTTGACATCTTCTCAATATTTTAGAATTCTCATGAACTTCTCAATTAAGGATGGAAGCCAGGGAACCCAACACAAATCATATTGCATTCATCTTGATTTACTTAATAAATTAAAAGAAACTTTATAATTATCTAGACAACTTTTCTATATATTCAGACAATAAAAATACTTAACAGTACAATGATTAACTGTGTAACTTTTTTTTTTCTTTTTAAGTTTGAAGCACTATTTTGTACACTTGGGAGGCTACCAACGATTCTTTCTTCAATTGAGTATTGGTCCATATATGAAGTTAATTTCTATTATTTGTGGCTAACTTTATACGGAGTGCATATCTTCATGTACAGCTTGGAGAATTGGTACTACAGAATTCTGATAGTGATGACAGGCAACTTGAAAAATGCTGAAGTTGCTGTCGATGCGTTGTCCGTATGGTAAGAAAACTGTCACATACAAAAAAATTTAGGGTGTGTTTGGGTGTTGATTTTTGGGAGGGAGGGGATATGCAAGGGTTGATGGCCCTCCTAAAAATGTGAAGGAATGACTTTGAAAGTTTTTGTGGCGTTTCAAAACCACTCAAGAGCTCAATTTTAAGTTTTGAAGGATAACTAACTAAATGATAATATAAGCTCAATTTAAAGTGAATATCAGTTTAATTATTTGAATTCATCATACCTCAGAGGTGTTTTTTTTAAAATTACTTCTAAGACTCTTTTTCCAAATATACTACTCTCAAATAAGAAGAAGGATTTCCTCACCTTCACATTCAGTTTCCCTCCAACAACTTACCTTCAAAGTCTTCTCCCATTTTCCCTCAAACTCTCAAACATTTATACCCTTAGGAAATGTTCCCGAAAAGGAATTAAATAGGTTTTGAAATTCCAAAATAGTACTCATAGGTTCTCTTCTCGAAATACGTGTACTATGACATTATTTGCTTCCATTTTAGAGTCATGACTACCAAAATAGGTACAATACTCAGCATGAACATGATTGGATTTACTATCATCATTGAAAATATTTTTCAATCATGACAGTAATGACTCTTATTTCGAAAGAAAAATATAGCAGTCTTATTTTGTGATTCCAAACTCATTTACTCTCATTTAGTGCCAAAAAATTGGAATTTACATAAATGACAGAGTTTCACTTGTTATTTAAATTTTAATTTACACCATTCTGATGAACAGTCCAACTAGTGCTCCGTAGCCCTCAAAGATGTCATATCTTTTTACATAAATCGACATGCTTTGATGATATTAACCAAACATTTGTGGCCTTGGGTTCACCTGTTGCAGCATGAGCATTAATGGCTGGGAAATGATGATTCCACTTGGATTCTTTGCTGGAACTGGGTTAGTAACTCTATTTTATTGGATATTTTGTGTACATCATCTTATGTAAACAAAAAGCAGGACCGTAGATGAGGGCGTGTAAAGTGTGCAGGGCCTTCAAAAATATAAGACCCATTTTTTAATTGTAAAATCTACATAGTGTATATATATAGGATAATTTTTTTTTAAAATCGTTGATTACTTTATTTGCTCGAATGATCCAACTATTCAGATTATCCAACCAAAGGTAAAAATTTCACTTTTTCTTATCCTATTTTCATTCGTTCATTTTTTATTTTAGATTCTTTACTAATTTATTTGTTCAAGTTGGAAAAAGTGATCATTTCTCAATCTCACATTTGTTTGTAGTTGTTTTTTGGATTTTCTTAAGGTTGATTTTTGGTATTGTATTGATTTAATATAAGGCCTATTTTTTCGTAACTTGCACCGGGTCTCCTAATTTATTGAGCCGGCCCTTACAAAAAGCGTACACTTTTCGTTATAATAACGAGTAGGGGTGGGTTCGGTTCTTGCGGTTCGGTTTTGACCTAAAACCAAATATAGAATCAAAGTAAAAAGTTCGGTTCGGTTTCGGTTCGGTTTCACTCCAAAACTTGGAACCACAGTTTGATTGGTTCGGTTTGTTTCGGTTCGGTTTTGGTTTTTTCGGTGTTTTACCAAAAAAATCTCACTTGATTTAAAATTGATATAATACTTAGAGGGATCAAACATATTACATAAAGAATGCAAGCACAATACAACAACAAATAAAATAAAAATGAGAAGATCGAGAGAAATATGTCTTGAATTATATGAATATGTGAGATAAATAAAACTGTATATATTATTGATTTAATTTGTTTGTGAGTAGTTTCAAAAAAGTTCATGAATATATACGTTCTAAAAATAAAAGTCAATTACTACTAATAACTAGTAAACACATAATATCATCATTCAATATAACTACATTATTACAGACAATGAATGTGTAAATGAATTAAGATTAATTAGAATTAATGCTTAACAATTAACATATAAATTTCATATTTGAAATAGTTTCGGTTTGTTCGGTTCGGTTCGGTTTTGAAGGGTAAAAACCAAAACCGAACCAAACAACTTCGGTTCAGTTCAGTTTTTTACATTCGGTTTTGGTTTCTTAGCGGTTTGGTTTTATTTGGCTGCGGTTCGGTTTAATTTGATTCGGTTTTCGATTTTCGGTTTTCGGACCCAGCCCTAATAACGAGTGTACAAAGAGAATAACTTTTAGGAAAATTTTACGGTGCATATGCATTATGGGATGTTCCGGTGCATTCTACAGTTGGCATCACCTTATTGGCTATTGAAACCAGCTCATATATTTTACTAAAAACACGATAATTGCAAACCAAGCCCTTACCAATCTCCAACCAATTTCTTTTGACAAACAGAGCTCCATCCCGCATTTGGTTTTTGTTTTTACGTCAGAAGGTAGGGGTGAACTGCTAGAGACGAAAGGAGCTCCATCCCACGGCTGATTTTTTTATTTGGTGCGAAAGTCAAAAGCTAGAGGTTGAAGGAATGAACGAATATTCAATCCAAGGTTTCCCGTCTCCTTTATCCCTGCTATCCCCGTTCACAAGAATGCACAACCACATTATGACTCAATCACTTTGCTCCAGGTGAGTTTCATCGTCTCTAATTTATTCACTTTTCACTAATTTTGATCATATTTTACTTAAATTTACTATCCCTGATGAATATCCTCCTTCGAATCTAAGCAAATTCCATTCTATATGCTGGCGTTCAGTTTGCTTAAGTTTCGCTTAGATTACATCCGTAATATGCACCTGTCGCTCTTCTTTCTTTCTAGCCTCGTGTGTTGCGTGGATAGGCTATTTTATGCAGAAAACCTCAAAAATTTCTGAACTCATAAGTCATAAATCATGGCCAGTTCGTCCCTACTTCCTTTACACTTAAAAATTTTTAGATTGTCATAACAAAGAGGAGATGCTGTCCCTCCACGTAGGAACCTTTGATGACTAGATAAAGTTTAGGGGAGTTGCCGAGTTCTAACTTCTTCAGTTCAAGAGTGTTAGGTTTTGCAGCAGAGGAGGAGAGGGTTGATATTAATTTACAGATTTGTCTATGTTTTATTAGTTAACTTTAGATTTTAAATAAGAAGTCCGTATATGACTATAATATCATTTACTTGTATATAGTTTTTATCTTCCCTTTGTTTTCAAGTTTGAGTCATCTTCTTTTGGATATTGTTTCTTTCTTTAAATGAATAAGCTTATTTATCAATTTTTATGGGAAGAGTATGCATGGGACGAGATTCATTATCATTTTTATAGGAACAGTACTTTTCAGGTAAACCATCTGGCTCTGTAAATATATATTTATATTTTGACTTGCGAATTTCTCTATATACTCTATTCTCTGCATATCTATATAGTTATTATCTTCCCTATTTATATTCAATGATTCTGCTGCTGCCCTAAGCTGCAAGGCAACAAATTTATGAATGGATGCTTTATCTGCTAATAGCAATTTAAAAAAGGAAAATCTCTGATTCTAAAATTTTCTTTTGTGTTGTTTGTTGTTTATAGGTTGGAAATTTGACAGTTCTTTATACCTTTAGGACTTCAAAGTTGGAATCAGGTCCTCACTGAGAGCATGGATGCCTTTCGTTCGATGTCACTTGGTTTTTGTTTATGTCTTGGACCCCTGCTTTTGGACTTTGTTGCTTTTGGATAATTATCCTTGCAGGTTAGCAAGAATGAGAGTATGCTAAATGTAGAGTTGCTGATACTCGAGGACATGATTGGCTTGGAAGAGTTCACAGTAACTTAGTTTCTTGCTTGTTTGAGCAATTTCGATGTACTAGCTCCGTATCTTTTACTTGAGTCTCTCTTTGGATATTTAGATATAATGTAATTAAATCACTTTTTCAACATTAAATATGTGATGATTGTGATTTCATTCGTTTATTTTGGAGTTATTGGTTGAATTGTGAAGCTTTTCAAAATGTGGATTTGTGGTTACTTTTCACTCTGTAATTTTCATCCATTTAAGGATCTTGGAGCTTAACCATAGCAATTTCATCAAGGTGAGATTCACTAGATGACTTCGATTCTTCCCAAAGCCTAGTTTCAGTTTTTGGCTCCCATTATTGCTTAATCAGGCTACCAGACACTTTTGATTCAACATTAGATTTTATTTGAAGTTTTAGATGATATATGTATGTTTTGGAAAATGACAAGTTGTATCTTGCTTCTGTAACCCGATAATATGGAGAAGGCTGATAAGCAACATACAATGACCCATGAATATAACCTGTAGGATTGCAGGAAGAAGCAAAATGGAAGTGGAAAATGAAGGTTGAATACAAAGAGTAAAAGATGAGATGATCAGGGGCGGAGCCAGGGCACTGGGCCGCACTGGGCCGGTACAAAGAATATTTTTAGAAAAAAATTTACACGAATTTTTTTACTTTAAAAATTAAGCCATTTTTAAAATTTGGGGTGGGCCATGGCCTAGGTTGGCCCACCCCTAGCTCCGCCCATGGAGATGATCATAGTGACAATCCTCACTCCGAAAGAATGCTATGTTTGGAATGAATGGATAAATATACTCTTAGTTAATCATTAATGTCATTTATGGAGTAACTCCCAATTAGGCTAAATTCGAGCCGGGTCGGGTCCAGGCCAGGCCTAGGCCCGGGCGGGCCGCCGGTTCTGAATACTTGGTCCCGCGATCGGCCTCGGGTTTTTTTTTTTTTTTTTTTTTTTTTGCTTTCCTAAGTATCCATGACCCCCCCACCCCCCAAACCCCTCCTAAACATCAAGCCCAACCCGGGTGGAACCCAAAAAAAATGAAAAAACAAAAAACAAATCAATTTGGCTTGAACCGGGCCTGGGCCGGGCCTCCCTTTCACTGACCCGAGCCCGCCCCGCTTTTCCTAGCTAACCGGGCCTTAGACCGGTTTGGGGCCCGCAGCACCGGGCCGGTTCCCGGGCCAGGTGGCCCGAACCGAGTCCAGGACTACTCTCAATACATACGTTTCTCCCATATGTAGCCATTTCTCTTCTCCCAATGTTATATAATTCATTTATACAAACATTATTCTTCATTACATTACTCTACTTTTGTGATCAACCTATAGGCCTTATATGAAGATGAGTCCATAAGGAGTTACATCTGGGATATAATAATTCGAGTGATAAATTGCAAATTATGATGAAGAAAGAAAAACATCCTAGAGCAAAAATGATCTGGGATAGAAGCATGGAGTTGAAAAACATTCTGTAGGCTTCTTCATCAACTAGCTGTAGCAAAAGAAAGAGAGAATCATGTTAGTTTCACTTTCAACATGAAAGTTCAAAAAGAAAAACAACAAGAAACTTGAAGGCCCATTTGACAACAATTATTTGGCTGAAATGGTAGAATGTAGTCCTCATCTTGTAAGAATAAGAAGAGTGTTTATAATATCCCTTTCAGCCAATCAAACCACTCAAAAGCTACTTATTATGTGTATCATATTGGTAAGCCAGAACTGGCTACCAAACGAGGTTAAGAAATATTTAATATTATAACCCACCTGAATAGCTTGTCTCTTGTGTGCCTAACTAAACTGGCAGTACCCTGGTGCACCACATTGCTTAGCATCTTCGATATTCGGATCGCAAACATATTGACCATTAAGAGAAAAACTACCACCCTTTGACCCACCTAAACTATTCACTTTTTACATATGCATATACACATACATTTATCTTTAGCCCTAATCATATACCACACACTTAGTATCTTATATGTATGTGATCATGTCTGGAAATATTAGCACACATATGCTTGATGTCTCAGTCTCATCATGTACTCTATATATAGCCAACTAGCCAAGTGGGTCTGTAAGTGAAAAAAGGAAGTGAATTACTATGGCTCGGCGGTATCTACAAATAATTATAATAAACTTAGAAACATAAAAATAAGGTAGATGAAAGCATGGTTAGTCCAAAGAACCGAGCAGGTAAACCGGCAAATAATGAAATGACTTAAGTTGTGTAAATCATACATGACTTAAGCTGATAGAATGTTTAACTATTTTGGTGTTCTGAAATCCCTTCATTTTACATGCTCTTGTATGTAGATTTGTCATTATTTTTAAGAGTATACAATGTAGTATACAATCTAGAAGCCTAGACGTGCTGGAGCAAAGATCATAGAAGGTCTATCAAGTATTCGTAGTTGGGTAAGCTTGCAGGAGCCAATGACCTCATGCAAGCTGCAAAAAGCTTTATTTGTAAGAAATCCGTTGTTTTTCTTTTTGAGCTCTTGGCCAAACACATCCAGAGACATTAAAGTGTACTTGGAAAATCAATATATAAGATCTTGAGTACCTAACAATAAAGGTTCTCTCATTCAAACCCAGTTGTGATTCCATCTCAACTCTACTCTTGTTATGATAAAGATTGAGTCTATCATAAACAATTAATGTTGATCCCATGTGTCACTCTCGATTAGCTATTTGAACTGCTTCTCAAACCCTCTTGCTTCAACCCAAATATACACATTTAAAAGAACTAATCAGTAACAACCACACCTGCAGACAGAACAGATCGCAAGAAATGTTTTTCCAGGTCAATTCAAATAAATTAACACGTCACACTAAATAGCTTAGTTGATCTTAATTACTTGCTACGTATCTTATATGGTGTGAAGGTTGAAGAATGAAGAAGAGGATAGAACCAAATCTTACTGGTAAAAAAATACCCGAAGTGTACGATCTCCATCGATAGATTAATAGAGTACGCATTGGTTAAGAAATGGAGTTAGAGATAGAAATTGAAGCTTCCATATTGTAGAATCACAGCAACATCAGATCTTTAGCAACAGTTTAGCGATGGAGGTGGGTCGCCTGAAACTGAAACATGAGTGGCCGGACTGTTCCAGTAAACTTGGAATTTCAGAGTACCTGCAAAAGCATTTATTGCGACGAAGAAAACCACACTCCATGAATGAATTATATTGGATCACGATCGTCCGGTAAATGGTCGTTCATACCACCCTCTTCATAACGACATAACCTCTTCCCGAACCCGACAGTCATCTTAGCAAACCTCCTCACCAACTCTGTAACATGGAATCTCGAATGTCTCTAGAAGTTTTTTGGTTCCATTGACAGTAATTCGAAATTCTCCCTAGAATTTTTTCAAAGAACCTGCGAGTAGAAAATTAGATGTCGCCGATATGAATGGCTGACTACAGGGATTTTTTAATGCGTAAGGTTCGATATGCAATTTTTTAATTTTTTTAATGACCTGGAATATACTTCCAATGGGATTCTGCCACATGTAGGATGTACCAAAACATTCCACAATGGAGATCCACCGAAGAGGTTCCCTAACTTTTATTTTCTTTCCATATATTGTCGATCTATGTTTTGGGAAGTTCAGCAGTTTGGGTTGAAAGCATGACTACCCACGTCATTTCGTAAAATGATGCTGAATTGTTAATTATAGTGTGCGACGTTCATCTGAGTAACTTCGGACCAAATTAATATCGTTTCAAACTTTTATTCATTCTGGGATTTATTAAAGAACAAAAACTCTAGAAGTAGTTTTCGCTCCATCTTAATAAATTCTATTATTCGTTTTAGTGGAACTTTTAAGAAAGTGAATGAAAATATAAAATTTGTGATTCATATTTTAGTATAAAAAATGAATAAATACAAGCAAAATATTATTGTCAAAAAACAAAAACAAAACAATTATTTCGAGAAGGAGATAGTAATAGAAATTTGAAAATTAAGACAATCAAAAAACTATTTTGAGCATGGTAAAAAGACCATAAGATTTTATTAATATTTTTATAGGAAATGAGATAGTTATTTGTTTATACTCCGTACTAATTTGCAAAGGTTTAGTCCTCGCATTTTACGATTTACAACTTTAACCGTAATAAATTTAACTAATTAACATCTATCAATGTAAAATATACTCCGTATTATCTAAATCTAAAACACCTATAAATATGAATATGGGTTAGTACCCTTATATTGTGTCCATCTTTTATGTGCATTAGATCTTGTACAGTTTTAATAAAATATTGTACTTCATTTATTGGTAACATAAATACCCTTACTCCGTTATTACAGTTTTATACACGCACGTCATTCATATACGTAGTACTTTTGTTTAGGATTAGGGATATTACCCGAAATAGGACTAAAAATGTTTGAAAATTCCAAAATAGGACTACCATGTTTTTATTCCCAAAATAGGATTAATTACTGTCATGTTTTGGCAGTACCAGACTTCAAACATGGCAGTATTTCCCAAACATGACGGGTTTAATGCACCAAACCCCCTCTGTGATTTGGAAATTCGGCGCATTAGCCCCATGTGATTTAAAAAATGCGTCAAACCCCCCTGTGTTTTAATTAATCATGCACAGAACCCCCTTTATGAATAAATTTAACGATTTGAAAATCACTTTTCCTAATATTTTGATTGAATATGCAAATAAATATGTCAAAATCTCTGAATCATACAAAAATGTTAATCATTTTTCTTTTATTTGACAATTGAATTTGTTCACATAAGGGATTTGGCGCAAGATTAATTAAAACACAAGGGGGTTTGACGCATTTTTTAAATCACAAGGGGCTAATGCGCCGAATTTCCAAATCACAGGGAGGTTTGGTGCATTAAACCCCAAACATGACAGTAATTGCTCCTAGTTTGGGAATAAAAAACATGACAGTCTTATTTTGAAATTTTCAAAGTTTTTTAGTCCTATTTCGATAATTTTCCCTTAGGATTATAGTGCTTTTATACTCTGTAATTGATAATATTTTGGTGACAACTTCGGTACCCATTTAAAAAATGGGGTACTGTACCTGCCATTTACATGATTGGTCCAACTCATTAAATCATTTTTAATTTAGATTTAAATAATTCAACTGCATCATTTTGATTGGTCTATGTGTACAAAGGTATGTTGAGTGTAACATATGGTCCATTATGGCCGATTTTGAATTAGCTTTACTGATTTATAACTCCTTCCAAGTTCATCCCAAATTACCCTTTTATTACTCAATTTGGGATGGAGGGACTAACCTTCACGAAGTCGACCTATGAATTTTGAATTAGCTTTACTGAGTTAACCTATGAGTTAGTCCCTCCATCCCAAATTGTATCTCAAAATTGATTTTTTTTTAGTCAAACAGGTTCATTTTATTCACTTCATTAGGATATCATTAATTCTTAATTAAATTTTAATTTTGATTTTGCAACTTTACATAGATTTTAATATAGTTTCTCGATATTTAAATTTTAATTATTAAAGTTGAATTAATTATCTATAAGGAGATTTAACTTAACATTGATTCAGAAAAAAATGTTGATTTTACAAAACAATTTTAGATGGAAGTAGTATGATATACACGACAATTAGGTAATGAATGCACAATCAGAAATAATACCCAACAAAACATATGTGCTTCATTAGGTGAGGACTAATATTTTAATGGACTAATAAAATGGATGTGAGGACTACAATTTTCATTTTGGGCATTAGATTTCGCGCTTTGCGCGTATAGAAAGCTAGTATTAACATAACTATCTATCACTGTAGAGTCATAACAAGCGTGAATAGTAACAAAGCGTGACCAATGACTTTTTTTTTTGTTACAGTAGCGGGGTGATGTAGCTCACATTTAAAGAAATTAACTCACATTGACAGCAAGTCAGAAAATGTAACTTGACGCAATTTGAAATGTAAGTTGTCGTATATGGAGTATAAAAATTAAACTAAAACATTTATTTCAATGTAAACATTGAAAAAATAAAGTTCAATCGCCCAATTATTTTTATGTAAATAGTGAATGCTCCCTCCGTCCCCTTTTATTTATCCAAACTTGACTTTTCAAGTCAAAGAAGTGAAATATTGATCGATGATATAATTATACATGATACGTGATTAGTCATACTTTTATAAAGTCAAAGAAGTTAAATATGAGGGCTGCAAGTTTTTTCCCGTTTCAAACAGACAAGTCATACTACTTTTGTATGTTTTGTATTCCACAAAAATGTACGTGATTATATTTTAGAATGTGTTTAATACATGTAAAACGCGCTAAACAGGACACCCACGTGTCCACATTTTAAACATTTTCTCCCTTTTTATCCACTCTCACCCACCCCACCCACCACCTTTTGGACATTTTCTATCTTCTTTCATCCACTCTCACTCACCCTGGCTTTTCTGTCACTAATCACTCTAATCGATTTAAAAAAATATTACCTCCGTCCTGTTGGAATGTTCCCGGTTTGACCTACACACATATTAAGGAAATAAACTTACCAGGGGGTAAATTTTACTGTTTGGACACTGTTTGACACTGTTTTGCACTGTTTGACACTGTTTTGATGTAGAATAACTTTCCATTTAGGGAAATGAGAACTTTCCATTGGGACATCCAAAAAAGGAAAGTGGGAACATTCCAACGGGACGGAGGTAGTACATTTTAGAAGTTAGAACATTCATCACTCTATTCAAAATTGATAAAAATCTGTATGCACACACTTATTTGTACAAATCAATGAGCAAACTATTGTTTGTCTTGTGAATAATGTGTTCACGGAAAAAATATGTTTGTCTGTGAACAAGCGATTCGTGAATAAAAAGTGTATTCACAAACGATGTATGAAAGGTGTATAAAAAGTATGTACTATAATATGCACACAACCCATTTTGTTAATTGCTTTTCCTTCGCGTTTCATTTCACTTATTTTTCATTTGTGCAAGCTGATTGTTTTTTGCAAACTTGTATGGGATTTTTCCATAAATATTACTATAATAAAACATATTTACACAAATATGACTAATAGTTACTACAATCTATAGTCATGGCAATGTAAGTTTAAAACTTAAACATAAGTTACTATGATTTCATTACTACTCTAGTCGTCACTAGTCACATTTTTGTAAACAATATTTATTTTAGTTGTAAATATGTAATTATTTCAACTTTTGTATAACCTCAGACGATCTAGCCAAAATATTTAATTCGCATTTACTCGTTGATTATATCACACCTACTCCGTATTTGTTTTTAGTAACATATATGTATAAGTAATTTAGGAGATGTTTGGATATAATTCTTAAAATCGATTCTGTTCTTTCAGAAAATAGAATCAAATATTGTAATATTTGGGTGAAAGTGAAGAAGTACTCTTTAATGCTTCAAATTGCTCCTACAAGCAGTTTTTTAAAAATTAGGGGATTTTTTTTGAAAAAGTGATTCTAATTCTACTTCTGCTTAAAACAAACAGAAACTGAATCAATTTTAAACACCTCTTATACAACGTGATGCCATACACTAATACTTAGTATTGTACAGAGTGAGGGTGGCAAATGAGTTGGGCGCTGGGAGCGGAAGAGGAGCTAAATTCGCTGCAATCGTATCAGTGGTACATTCGACTATCATTGGATTGATCTTTTGGGGGCTAATCCTAATCTTTGACGACAAGTTGGCCCTAATTTTTTCATCGAGCAAACCTGTCCTAGAAGCTGTCAGCCACCTCTCAATTCTCTTAGCTTTCACTATTCTGCTCAATAGCATTCAACCAATTCTATCAGGTTGTTAATAAATCTAATAGCCTATTTGGGAACACTCAATCAGTCAGGTCGGTTAAAACTGGTAAAATTCTGGTTGAAACGTCTGAATTGAGTAAATATGTTTAATTATGAAAAAAATTAAAATATGATAGTATTTTTTATTAATAAAATAAGAATATAATTTAATGAAAAATAGCTAAATTAATTATTTTTCATCAATTTTAACCAATCAGCCAGCAAAGATACTCTAACCTTAATGATTTTGATTATTATCCCATTTGCAAGCGAAATCAAAAGATGCGTTCGAAAAAAGTTGAGGGATAAGCGGCCAAAAATAATGATTACCAAACTGGTTCTAAACCAATCACCAAGTATGCTGTAGTTTTTCCTAGTAAATATTAATGACTTAACGTGTTTTGTTTTGCCGAGGGTAGCCAAATATTATTAGGGTGCTCAGTAGAGAAATTTTTATGTAACTTTTAATAGTACATAATATTCAAATATATAATACAAATTTTATTAAATTTGGGTTGGACCTGTATACAGATTTTTAATAACATTTTACACAAAACTGTAGATATAATTGAAGGATTTTACTAAATTTGGATTAGATCCTAGCTACGCTTATGATTTGTTATGAGTAGAAACTTCAAAACTTTGTAGGGGTTGCGGTTGGATCTGGATGGCAGGCATATGTAGCTTACATAAACCTTGGGTGCTACTATTTACTCGGACTACCTCTTGGCATTATAATGGGATGGGTGTTTCACCAAGGCGTCATGGTAAGCATCAACCCTCAAATATACAATAATATTCCATCCGTTCCAAATTAAGTTGCAAAATTGATTTTTTTGGGTCAAATCGAGTCATTTTATTCACTAAATTAGAATATCAATTCTTAATAAAATTTAATTTGAATTTTGCAACTTTGAAGAGTTTTTAATCTAGTTTCTGAATATGTAAATTTTAATTCTTAAGGGCTGATTTTTGAATTCTTCTTTCATTAGTATACTTTTTATTGTTAAATTTCAAGAGTTAATTTAACTTTAAAGTCTGTACTCTGTATGTACTTCGTGTGTAATTGAGCGTGTCTATTTTTTTTAATAAGTTAAAGTGATAAACTAGAGCTTAATGAACACTACAGGGCATATGGGCTGGAATGATCTTTGGTGGAACTGCAGTGCAAACTCTAATATTGTGTATAATCACACTTCGATGTGATTGGGAAAACGAGGTAAAGAACCCTTCACAAATGCCATTAATATTACTACTACTATTGTGATTATTAATATGATTATTATTACTACATTTATTATTGCCATGTTTTTAAAGATTGGAATCTATTAAGAGAATTTTCTTTAAATATTACTGAAGTACTCCCTGCGTCCCAAATCGAGTTGCAAAATTGACTTTTTTGAGTCAACAGAGCCATTTAATTCACTTAATTAGGATATCAATTCTTAATTAGATTTTAATTTGGATTTTGCAACTTTGTAGAGATTTTAATGTAGTTTCCGAATGTGTATATTTTAATTATTAAAATTGAATTAATTATCAATAAGGAGGATTTAACTTTAACATTGGTTGACAAAAAAAATGTTGACTTTGCAAAACAAATTGGGACGGAGGTAGTATAACTTATATATGGATAAAATAATAGTATAGTTGCAATTCATAGACACTATAGTGGTAAAGTTAAACATAATCATGCTTACTAAAGTTACTCTGATAATCACTAAAGCATATTTTTGCCCACTAGCTTTATTCTGAGCACATATTTGTTATTATTTCGTTTGTTAAAAGTAATGAAATAGTATAAACGCTGATGAAGAAAGAAAATTAGATATGCAACTAAGCTAGTAAAATATAAAAACACTGACAGGAAAAAAAACTCTTATGCTCATACTCCCTCCGTAACTTAAAAATCTTCTCACTTTCCTTTTTTGTCCGTAACTAAAAAATCTTCCTATTTCTATATCTTCCCATCATACCCTCAATAATTTTGAAAATAATACTCTATTACAACTACTTTTTTTGGATTTATCCTAACTTTCATCACACTATTCCACTATCTTCCCATCATACCCTCAATAATTTATATCCTCTTTCACTATTCTTAATCGACCTACTTTTCAAATGGGAAGATTTTAAAGTTACGGAGGGAGTATAGCTTAAGCAAAGTGCACCCAACCTCCTTTCTCGCCCATTGCATTATTTAGAGAAATCCTAGCAACTTGAATCCCAAAATGCTCCAAAGTGTACAAATTTAATTTCTCAAATTTCTTGAAAATATTATGAACCGGAATAAAATGAACTTATTGTTGATCTATTGTTTTTGCTTGAATGCAAGCACTCAATGGCGGACCCACTAAGGGTCCCACGGGGTCCCGGGACCCCGTGGACTTCCAAAACAATACCTATATATTATTAGTATTTTATATAAATTAATTAGTATCTGTATATTTATACGAATAGCGCCGTTAGAACACATTGACTTATGCAGCGGAACGGGTGAATGCTAGGGGAAAAATCTTTCTCCTGATGCGGGGGTGTAGGGTTCGATTCCCTGCAAGGCTCCTCTCCCTTTTAGTCTTTTTAATTTGCATAATTCATTTAAATTTAATCTTTTTGCACATTAATTTATTTAAATTTATACTTTAAAACTCCCTTTTTGTCTTTTTGCATAATTCATTTAAATTTAATCTTTTTGCATATTAATTTCTTTGAACTTATACTTTAAATTAAACCATCCGTATTGAATTTGAATTCCTAATGAATCCCCTGCTTAGTTTTTTTTTTGAAAATAATCCCCTGCTTAGTTCTTTGTTCATTTTTTACTTTTATTGAATTTTAACCTTTGCATAATTCATTTTGGGATTAATTATTAAAATTTATTTGAATGTTAAGATTAAATTATTAAATAGAATACAACTAAAACATATACAAAGTTCAAAAACAGGACGAAATATGTTTTATTTTCAAATGAGATTTATTTAGTCCTATTAAAATAAAAACTTGACTATATTTTCCAAAATTAGGAGTGAATGAGTCCTATTTTGGGAATAAAACATTGATTTTGATATTTATGAATTTTATCCATGTTTTAGTGCTATTTAGAGTATGTTCTCATTATTAAATTTGTGTATGTATGATTCTTTTTTCAATATTTTATGATTTAGGGTGAAAAATTATTTTAATAGTGTACCCACATTTAAAAAAATTTGGAGTATCGGGAGTAGTTAAGATGTTAATTCAAATGATTTGTCATTAATAAAAAAAGAATTAGATCAAGTGATTGATGAAAGTGAAACTAATTTGGCTTATAATTTACATAAACAACATGTTGATTTTGAATCTTTAGAAGTTGATCCTAGATTGATAAAAAAAATCTTGATTGTCATCCTAATGTTCAAGACGTGGTACCCAGCAGTTAGATTCAAAAAGGGGCATTTCACCTTCGGGATCATGATTTCCCTTTTAAGGTAATTGGCGGCAAAAGACGTAGATTTGTTTCAAGCTGGTTTGATGAACATTAATGTTTTAAATACACTACTGCCAAAAATATAATGTTGCATTTTGTTTATCATGTTATTTGTTTAAGAATGAGTGGGAAGTTGTTGGTGATGTGTTTTGGGAATATGGCTTTCACATGCTACATTTTGTTTACCATGTCGTGTCCCTTTTAAGATCGATGCTGCATTTTTTTACCATCTTATTTGTTTAATTATATACTCCCTCCGTCCCTAAATAAACTTCCAACTTTCCTTTTTCGTCCGTCCCAATTAAAACTTCCACTTTCCTTTTTTGGCCGGAATTTGTGGTTCACAACAATTCTTACACATTTCTCTCTCCTCTGCACAACTCTCCACCACACAATACCCACTATCTTAAACTCCGTGCCAAACCCATTTGGAAGATATAATAGGGACGGAGGGAGTATTAATTAGAATTACATTTAGATAGGGACCCCGTGACTCTGTTTTTCTGGGTCCGCCACTGCAAGCACTCCTAAGTATTACTATCATTATTACTACTATTAAGATTACTATTACTATTAGTGATAGTAGCAATAGTGTTGTCATTAATACTATGGAGTATTGTATTGTTGTTGTTATTGTGGGTTTGATATATTCCTTTATTATTTTGTATTATTAATCGATACTACTTGTTGAAATGTAGGCTAAGAAAGCAAATCAACACATTCAAAAGTGGGAAGAAGTGGGTCACAACAAATTGTAAAAGTTCGGTGCATGGAATTACCGTTGTCACATGATATTACAATGAAAGTCTGCCTAAATTTGGGGTGGGGCAACCCAACCCAACCAACTCAAAAAATCATTATTGGTCCGATTTTCTTACGGTCCAGATAAGTTACGGGCCTAAAAATAAAATATTCAATTCGGATCAAAGAAAACCACAACTATTACCCATAATAAATATTATGATCTTCTCTCACTATCATTCCATGAAAAATATGATCGTTTAGGCCCGAAAATTTGTCATTAAAGCTTTTAATGATCTTTTTTACGTCATCGAGTGGTCGCTATAAGTTCTGCCGCTATTGGTTTTAATGACAAAGTTCATCGTTAATAATTAACGACGACACTAGATGTCATCGACTCATCGTTACTTATTAACAACAAGATATTCATTCGCCATTACATTTTAACGACAACATAATTCTTCATTGTCATATCAAAGCGACAAGATATTTAACTGTCGTTAATTTTAATGTAATTTATCAGCATCATTATGTGTTGAATAGTGACATACATATATACGAGTTTTTCAAAATTTTATAATATCAATCAATATCATATTTTGTAATTGATTATTTTTGTATGAAATAAATTCAATACTTGTACAGTCAACACCATATACCAAACTTCCAATCTTCGAATAAATTCCACGATCAACATTAATAATCTTTTACATATAACAACTAGAGTAAGTTAATTGACACTATATAATAATCATCCTCGTACATAAATAAAATCTCCATACTTAATTGTCAAACATATGTCTCATCTATACAAAAAAGTGGTCACAAAGTAATCATTTGACGACACTGCTCTAACTTCTCATCTTTAAATACATACAAAAAAACAAATCTTCTAATAACATAATAAATAGTTATCAAAGAAATAATATGATTCTTAAAAAACCTTTCCTAAAGCCAGAATGTCAGGAATAACAAATCTAAATTCTAAATACTATGAGAGAGAGAAAATAACATTGTAAGTTGAGAATTCATACCTTGTGATCCACTTTAAGAAGAGGGGTGGAAACGTTAAGTTGTTTCATCACTTTAGGTTGTGGCTCAATTTATCTTTTCGCTTTATTCCTCCTCCAAAACCCACAACCCCATCCTAGGACTTGGACTTAAAAAGTTAAAAGTTGAAACTTTTTGTGCACCATAAAAAACAATAGTTACCTCGACATTAGAAAGTGAAGGGATTTTTTTTCATGATCTCATGAATTTCACTATTTCCTGCAAAAGTACAGACCATATCCAAACAATCAAGAATACTTTAGCCTCAAACCAAACAAAAACACTACGAGCGTGAGACTTCTTTTCGGGTGAATAGAACAATGCACATATATTATCTGCAATGATATTTTTTTTTGTCCCGGAAGGCCAACCACCAAAATCAGTGGGGTAAATGCCGGGGGACATTTAAATAAAACAACAATGTTTAAAGCTGTTAGAGCACACATTGTCCCTAACTGAGGCACTTTATGGTTTCGAGTTTATCTTGACCCACCTAGATAATAGGCAACTCCTCATGGTAAGTTGTTAAACACGATGAGTTCAAATGACAACAGTGGCAACGCAAGAGGGTCCCGTGTTCCCAACAGTAACTTATATAGGGAAAAGTATTTTGTTTTAAAACAGTCATAAGGGTCTAGTGCGCCCATCAGTGATTTTTACAACGGAGGATCAATTAGAGTGGCACCAATAACACGACCTCCTCCAGATTCTTCTCAAGTGGACTAGTTATGGTGTCTATTTTTTTGCTTTTTTGCATTTTAATTTCCATGCTAAGACAGTTGTGTATTGTTTTTATTTTATTTTATGTTGTAAGACTTTTGCATTAGGAATGAGTGATGAGAGGTCTGCGGTAATCGTCGTTGGCTTAATTATGCCCAAATTAGGATCGGCGAGTTATAAAAAGCATGTTTTATTACTTTTTGTTTTTCACTTAAAAGAATATTTTCTATTTGAAACAAATCATATACACATATACTACGTATGTAGTTCGATAAATATTTGCATTCAAAAGAAATTTGTAGATAAAGAATTAAATCGTAAGGTGAGATTATTACCACAATAATGAACTTTGTATAGGAAATTAAGAAATGAGACTTGGATCTCTCTCTGTAACGCATTATCGTCTCTCTCCCCTTCTCGATTTCTTCTTCCCCGCACATCGATCAACTTCATCGCATAGTTCATATGTGATATGCCATATCGACTTTATCCTCAGCCACCGCCGCCGCTGACTCCACCGCACGCACGCGGCCATTTGGTGAGGTTTCTTTTTATTCTTCTTCTTCCTCCTATCATTCTATTTTTCTGACTGTGAAGTTCATTTTTCTGATTTTTTGTTGTTGTGAAAACTGTGAAATAAGTCTTGTAGTTATAGGTGAATCAATTAAGACCACAAAGTTTTAAAACACTCAATTTTAACAGATGTTGCTGGTAATAGCTGACCCAGGGATGGATATAGGATTTCGAATCAACGGGGACAAATATTTTTTCATTGGTGTAGGGAGTGAAAAAAATCGCTAGTAAGCGGGACGGAAAAAAATTCGCTAGTGTAGCGGGGCGATTTTTTTCTGCTAGTGTAAGGTTCTGCGGCTAATTTTTATTCAAAAAGTTCCTTTAGTACATATGGAGTACTACATAAGTGCTCTAGAAAAAAGTATTAATACATTAAACCTTAAGAAATGACAAGTCAAAGGAAAATTATTTGAAAATAAGAAAAGATATACGTAGTATAACATTTTATGATATTATTTGAAGGTAAAGAGGTTTAAATTAAAGGTACACATCAACCAATGCTTTTTAAACAACTCATGTCTTGTTTAACAACATGAATCTTAACAGAATAAAGAATTGGTTTTTGAATTGATATTTTTGTCTACCAAGGAGGGTATTTGTGGGTCACGATGAGTTTTCTTATTATTACAGTAGTAAATATGAAATTATGATATTTAGAATAATATGATACGTAGTAATGTTAATTCATTGTATATGGTGCATATTATATTTGTATTAATGCTAAAATAAGTTAAAGTATTATCTATTCAACAAATTGTTTTTAGAAAGTAAGAGGTAAATGAAGTGTGTAATTTAATGTCAACCAACATTTATACTATTTTTTAATAACTACCGCATCTGATATTCAATATCGTTTGATATCTTACAAAACCGAGTACTAATTATCTAATAAAGATAATTAAACATTACAAAACTAAGAATTTTTAGGCATCCTAAGTCTTAAACAATGAGTTCTATTGTTTATTTGTTTAAATTATGTAAATTATTTTAGATTCTACTTCTCTTAAATCTCAAATTAAGTATTATATTATGTGAGCCTATGTATTAATTTTGAAAACTAAATATTAATGGGGGCGAAATATCGCGCCCCCCTTAGTTCCGTCTCAGAGCTCACCTGAATGCCCATGTGACAATAATTTTAATTTTTGCCTTTTTCTATGCCTTTTTTTCTCTTTCTTTTTTCTTTCCCTCCTTTCTTTCCCCTAACTTCTTCCGATCCTTGGAGTTGCAGCAACCGGTGTTTCTTTATTTCTTTCTTCTTCTTTCCGTGCACTTTCTTTCCCATTCCCCAATTTCTTTCTTTTCCGCTTTTCTTCCTTTCTTTCTTCCATTCTTCCCGATTATTTTCTTAGGGCGGGCGGCGGTTAAGGAAGACATGGACGTACGGCGGCTAGGGAAACTTTGGCTGTGGGCGATGAGTGGCGCTCAGATTGAAGAAATCACGGGTGAAGAGCGACACACTTTAGGTGTTAGGCAGAGTTCAGATTACCAGCTAACCAGGAATTACAAAAGTTGCGGTTTTGTGGATGACGGCTGACCGCCAATGGCGGATGAGGAAGACTTGATGGGCGGTGGTTGATATTTTGTGGAGAGAATTAGAATAAAAAAGAAAGAGTGAATGAAAGAAACCAAGAGAAATGCGTTTAACGCATCAAACCCCTATGATATATGTAAATCCAGCACATTAACCTCCTATGATTTAAAAAGTGCGTCAAACTCTCTTGTGTTATTAGTTGTTCATGCGCAAAATTCCTTCTAAAAACAAATTTTATAATTTTGAAGTCACTTTTCTTAATAATATGATTGAATATGTAAGTAACTTATTCAAGATTTCTAAATTATCAAAAACTCTAGTCATCTTTCATTTGTTTGACAATTAAATTTGTTCATAAAAGAGGTTTTGCGAATTATTAACGACAATTGTTTGACGCTTTTTTTTAAATCACATAAATCGCACGCCCTGACTTTAATTTATACTACCTCCGTTCTCTTTTAATTGCAACGTTGGACTTTTTGCACTATTCACATATTCTATTTTGACTATATTTTATTAATTAATGTATTATAAATTAAATTTTTAAAAAATATTGTTAAATTCTTCTCATTCTAAATTTTCAAAATATGATTTTTTTAAATTTTTTACAAATAAGGAATGAAAGATATTAATGGTCAAACTTGTGCGTTGACAAACGTGAAATGTTGACTGTTGCAATTAAAAAGGAACGGAGGAAGTATTTTACGAGGGAGTTTGGTGCACTAAACACCAAATTATATTAACAAAGGCTTGAGTAGAAGTTTGAGACATTTTATAGCTCACCATAAGATCAACCACACATTGGCGACTGATAACACATTTTTTGTTTTGAATCAATTATTTCACACCATCGAGGTAGATATCTCTTTTGTTTGTTGTTTGAAATTTGAATCAATCATTATTCCACAAAATCCTTCTCATGAAAATCGTTGTCTACCAACTTTAAATAAAGTATAGGTCTTCCACCCATCCCCTCCTACGCCTCAATGTCGTTTGCTTCTGAATCTAAGAGCTATAGATTAATATAGTTTAGTACTCAAGTAGGAAAAATAAAATGTCTTGCGATAACGGAGATCAGGTGCCGTTATTATCCTCCGACATCCAAAGCCAAAATAGCGATCCTCATATATACGAACAACAACTGACACAGAGGTTTTGGATCGAATCAAAGAAGCTATGGCACATTGTGGGCCCCGCCATCTTCACCCAAGTCGCTTCATATTCCATGTTCGTCATCACCCTGGCATTCGCCGGCCATCTCGGCGATTTGGAATTTGCGGCCATGTCCATCGGCAGTAATGTCATCGTGGGCTTTGACTACGGCCTGATGGTAATAAGTGGTTGCTTTATTTCGAAATATGAAGTAATAAAGTGCTATATAACTTTCCTCGTTTATTTTGAAATTAGTTGGGATTGGCTAGCGCTCTGGAAACGCTATGCGGGCAAGCATTCGGGGCGAAGAAGTACAGCATGTTGGGAGTATATATGCAACGGGCATGGGTGGTTATGATAATATGTTGCGTTGTGATGATGCCGCTGTTCATATACGCGACGCCGTTGCTGAAGCTTTTGGGGCAGCCTGACGACGTGTCGGAGCTTTCGGGCGTGGTGGTGATGGCTTTCATTCCGCTGCACTTCTGCTTCGGGTTACATTTCCCGGTGCAGAGGTTCTTGCAGAGCCAACTGAAGAATTCGGTGATTGCTTGGGTGAATTTGGTGGCGTTGATTGTGCATTGTCTGGTGAGCTGGTTGATTGTGTACCGGTTTAGGCTTGGAATCGTAGCCATCATCATGACCTTGAACTTCTCTTGGTTCATTATCTTATGTGGTTTGTTTGGCTACACCGTCTGCGGCGGATGCCCCCTCACATGGTCCGGTTTCTCCGTCCAAGCTTTCTTTGGCCTTTGGGATTTCTTTAAACTCTCTGTTTCTTCTGGAGTTATGCTCTGGTATGCTGATTTGCTCTCTTTTTCGAAATCAATATTTTTATTATTAAGACAATAAGACAAATATTAAATCAAAATAATTAGAGAAAAATATTATCAGAATAAAATATAAAACAAAATATGACTAAAGTTAGTGTGGGTTACTTTATTAATCATCTTAGATTTGAATTTAATCGTAGCTATTAAAAAGTGACTAAGAGCCTCTGATAAAATTAGAATCACTTGAATTTCATGAAATTGATGGAATTTAGGGATGGCAACGGGGCGGATCGGGGACGATTTTACATATAACCGTACCCGCCCCGTTTAGTAATTCCCCCACCCCATAACCGCCTCATTACCCAACAGGTAATTTTTATCCAAACCATAACCGCGGGTAACCGCGGGTAATCGCTTTATTAAATGAGTCCTTTATATTTTAATATAAAAATAATATTTTCAAAGGAGAAAATGACATCTCTTAGACGACTCTAGACCCAGACGTACACCACTTAAAAAATATTTAATCTGAAAAATAATTAATCACGAAAAATCTGAAAATAATCAAACACAAGACTATTAAGATCTATTATAAACATTCATTCATACGCTATAGTTAGTAAATCTATAATTCATATATACACAATGAAAATAGAAAAATATCATCTTTTAATAGTTGTGAGACAAATAATACATAAGAATGTAATAAAAATATAATTAAAAATAAACGGGACAGGTAATGGGGCGGGCATGTATAAAACCATAACCGCCCCATTACCTGTAAAAACAAAACGGGTATTCCCCGCCCCGTACCCGTTACCTGGTCAATGCGGTTTTCTCCGTTTTGACCGGGGCGGTTCGGTGCAGGTATCCATCAGATCGGTCAGAATTGCCATCTCTAATGGAATTATGGTTGAAGTGGCCGGATTTTTGCTTGATTGAACTTATACAAGTTCTTTTTTATTGTACTAAAACTTTATCATTTTCCAGTATGATTTTCTTTAATTAATTTCTAGTTTTACTATTCTTTTCTCTCTACACAAATTAAACCTCACCAACAAAATATTTACTAAAGAATTTACAATCTTCAATGTGACAGAAAGGTCAGAGTATCTCATTCTTGTAAGGATTATATCGAACTACTACGCTTGATAAATTAAGCAGAAATTGCCCTAACTATTCCGGAGTAAAAATGTTTTAAAATTCCAAAATAAGACTATCGTGTTATCTATTCCCTGAATAGGAATAATCTGCCAAACTTGAAAGAAATTTACTCCTATTCAGGGAATAAAAAACATGATAGTTCTATTTGTGAATTTCAAAACGTTTTTACTCCTATTTAGAGAATTCTCTCATAATTAAGTAAAAAATAAACTTGACATATTAATTTTAAAACTATTAGAAATGATTCTAGTTTTTTGTAAATTTAATTGGGTTAAAACATTGAATGTGTGCATCAATAGGAGTTCAATGTTTAATATGAGTAAAAGTGTAATGACTTGACTATAATACCCTTAATGAAGTTCAACATTTATTACAGTTAAAAAAATAGAAAAGCAACTCAAAATCAAACAAAACCCCTTCCTCCCTCCATTCCTATGTGCAGCAGCCGCACAACCAATCTGCCACTACCGTCCGGCGAGTCTGCTGCAGCCGTCCGGGGAGCATGTGGTTGTGGAGTGAGTCCGTCAAAGCAGCCACCGCCATGCTCCGATGAGGTTGCCACCGTCGACCTCTGCTTGTGTTTCATTTGGTACACCGTGACATCCACTGCTGCCATCTTCTGCCACCTCCTGGAACAATTTTGTGCTAGATATTAAAAATAACTTAATGATTAATGTCATGTTAAAATAGTCATGCCATCTTAAAATAGTAATGACATTTTCATGTAAAAACATGGCATTCACAATACAAAAATATGGCATTCCCAAACATGTCATTAGAAATGATATTTCCATCTTCATAAAATTAGTCCCATAAATATGGCATTTTGGTATTGAAAACATGACATTAAAATTACAACATTCCAAAAGAGCTATTAACATTGCCATCTTCATAATTAAAATGGCATTAATTTTTTAAGTGAAAAAACCAATTTGTAAATGATGAAGAAAAATCATTGTAGTGTGAAAAAATATGTGAATCAAAATTAAATACTAAAGACAGATCTAAAAATTTCAATCACAATTATTCAATCCTAAGAGTTTTTTTTTGCTTAAGGTAATTGTCCCAAAGATAATAATGGAAAATAACTAAAATTCAAGAAAAAAAGAAAAACAGAGGAGATGGGAGAGGAAGGAGCAGAAGAAAAAGGAAAATGAGGAGAAGAAGAAAAGAAAGAAGAAGGCTCAATGGCCTCACAATCGCCGACAGCCGCCGCACAATCGCCGACAATCGCTGCGTGCATCCGTCACCTCACCTCATTCAGCTCTTACATTTGTGCCGCACCATGCTCCTGAATTGCTGCTACCAAAACCTTGCTCCCATGCTTTCTCTTATGAGTTGAATAGGAGAGAGAGGGAGCAGATCTGATCTTGTGAATGCTCCCGGAGTTGCTGCTATTAGGGGTGTTTGTCGGTTCGGTTTGGTCGGTTTTCGGTTTGGTCGGTTTTTTTTTTTGAAAATGTGAAACCGTAAACCGAACCGCACTACTTGAGTCAGTTTCGGTTCGGTTTCGGTTCGGTTAATATCAGTCGGTTCGTGTCGGTTTCGGTTAGTTTTAGCATGTTTTTGTCGGTTTTTGCCGGTCGGTTTCGGTTCGGTCAGTTTTTTAACCCCAAAGGTGAAACCGTAAACCGAACCGCCAATGTTTAATCGGTTTGAGTCAGTTTCGGTTTTGGTCGGTTCGGTTTCGGTCGGTTTCGGTTTTTCGGTTTTTTTGTTCACCCGTAGCTGCTACGGAAGCTATTTTCCATGCGTGATTTGAATAGGAGAGAGATGGACATATCAAATTCTGTGATTTGAACAAGAGAGAGCTGAGGGAGCAGATCGAGGAGATAAGGATGGATCTTCTATTCAAGAAAACAGATCGATACATTAAATGATAGAGGGGCAAATATGTCCTGACACATTAAAAATACTCCTATTTTATCAATTAAAAGGAAGAGCTTCTATTTGGGCATACGGGCCATGTTTTGCTCTTATCTGGGACCATTTCTCAATTTAGTTGTATCGTGAAAATTCTGTATTTGCGATCAACGTTAATTAAATATTTTAAATTTGCTTCACTATATGAATTATGTTTGAGGAGAACCCAAGTTTATCTTCAAAAACGTTTGGAAACATGCATTACCTCTTTAGGGGGTTAATTCTTTAGGAGTGAATTCAATGTATGCTCTAAATTAACTCTTATCCAAACAAATCATATTGCATTCATCATGTTTTACTTAATAAATTAAAAGAAACTTACTAATATCTAAACAACTTTTCTATATATTCAGACAATAAAAATACTTAACAATGATTAAATGTGTAACTTATTTTTTCTTTTTAAGTTTGTCGCACTATTTTGTGCAAAGTAGTCACACTTAGTTAATCATATGCAGTGGCGTATCTAGGAATTGAAGTGAGTGGGGGCGAATTCATATTACTTTCTCTGTCTCATAAATTCTTCTTACTTATTTTTTTGAATGAATTTATATTAAGTGTGTAAAATGTAATGCAATATGAATTAACTCTAAATGAATCAAGTATAATTTAACTCTAAATATGTATAAATATATATTAAGTCACTTTAAATTTGATTAAAACTTTAAGGATACAAGAAAGATAATGAATGCAAAATTAAAGTTTAGAACAAAATGGGTGAATGCACGTCCTTACCCGCTGTAGAAGATTGTTCTTTAAGTAACAATTTGAGTAATTATAGTATAAGTTGTGTATCTTCAGCACGCAAATTTATGTCTAATTAATTTTTTAAATATATGTATATATATGGAGTTGGGTGGGGGCAGCTGCTTCTCTGCCAACCCTGAATACGCCACTGATGTATCATACTACCTCCATAACAGAAATATCTTCCCACTTCATTTTTGGACATAACACTTATATCTTCCCATTTCTAAATCTTCCCATCATACCCTCAATAATTTTAAAAATAATACACTATTACACCTACTTTTTTAGATTTATCCTTCATTCCATCACATTATTTCACTATCTTCCCATCATACCCCTAATAATACATATCTCCTTTCACTATTCTTAATCTACCTACTTTTCAAATGGGAACATCCCAATGTTACGGAGGTAGTATATACTACGTATTGGATAAACATTCTTTTTTCAATTGAGTATTGGTCAACAACTCAAAATATGAAGTTAATTAATTTCTATTATTTGTGGCTATTGGCTAACTTTATACGGTGTGCATATCTTAATGTACAGCCTGGAGAATTGGTACTACAGAATCCTGATAGTGATGACAGGCAACTTGAAAAATGCTAAAGTTGCTGTCGATGCGTTGTCTGTATGGTAAGAAAATTGTCACATACAAAAACATTTAGGGTGTGTTCGGTGTTAATTTTTGGGAGGGAGGGAAAAAAAAGTTTTGTCGATGCGTTGTCCGGTTCACTTTTTGCAGCATGAGCATTAATGGCTGGGAAGTGATGATTCCTCTTGGATTCTTTGCTGGAACTGGGTTAGTACCACTATTTTACTGGATATTTTGTGCACAACTCATTTAGAAAAATGAATTTACAAAAAAGCGTACACTTTTCCTTTATACTAACGAAATTTTCTTTCCATGTATTCTCGATCTATGTTTTGGGAAGTTTAGGGTCTAATATAGAAATTATATAAATATATATATGTGTGTGTTACTACCTTCATCCCTTCATGGAGATCTCCATGAAGAACTTTACATGACCATTCCTTTAGGTTTTGAGCAAAAACAGAAGAACAAAGTTTGTCGCTTATTGAAGAGTCTATATGGCCTTGAACAAGCCAATAGGCAATGGTTTTCCAAGCTGTTAAGTGCTCTAAAGGATTATAGTTTCATTCAATCACGAGTGGACTACTCACTATTCACTTTACACAAAGATAATCTCACCATAATCCTCTTGGTATATGTTGATGATATCCTTGTTGCAAGTTCTGATATGCAACAAATCACTTTAATCAAGCAGTTTTTGAATGACCATTTTAAGATCAAGGATCTGGGTCTTGTCCATTTTTGGGCTTAGAAGTAGCTAGATCTTCTAAGGGTCTCTACCTCTGCCAAAAGAAGTATACAATAGATCTTGTAACACATTATGGCTATCAAGACTGCAAGCCAGTTTCTTTCCCTATGGACAACAAGCTTCGTTTAAGTGCTCATGATGCTTAATACTTAGATGATTCTTCTGTTTACAGATCATTAGTAGGAAGGCTACTATACTTAACCAACACACGACCAGATATTAGCTTTGCTGTTGATGTGAGTTTTCTCGCACTTAAAATGATTGTAGTAAAGGGTTGAAGTACGAGTATCGTCTCCATAGGGACGGGCAAAAGGGAATTAAGAATTAACTAAATTCAACGAATTAAAATTTGACTGATTGGAAAATTAAAATACGATTAAACGAATAAATAGCTTTGTTTCTCTCTAATTAATGACGAAGGGAACAAGGATTTGTTCCGGGGTAACCAGATTTGTGACAGATCAGGCTTAATTACATGAAATTAACTTAATTGAGCTTAGCTAATCATTACTAAGTTCTTACCACTCTCGAGGCATAGAGTACAATAATTAAGGGGACCGGGTTGATCTCGATCTCATGCGACAGGATCCCAAATTATTGCCAAGACGAGCAAGGTTACGGCCCCTTGACCGCTACTAATCTCTTAGCAAGCGACTAAGTGTGTGTGAAGGTGTCTTAAAATAAACTACATCTCAGTTTATTTATTCTACAAGCAATTCTAATTCTAGCCACGATTCTAGGTTACAAAAGATATCAATTAAATTATTAAAACACCAATTACACGACATTCATGCCATTAATCCATCAAGAAACTATATCCATATATCATAACTAACCCCTTTATCAATCCCAAATCCCTAATTAAACTACTCACAATTCATAATTGATAAATCAACAGAATTAGGATGAATAGAAATAGTCGTCATTAATTAAAAAGTAGGAACTTACAAATAATCTCAGGGTCTTGAACAAAATAGCGGAAAAACACGTAGAAACTCGCCCCTAGGCCTCTCTCTAAGCACCGTCAGCTCAAAATAGGGTTATGGAGGCCTTATTTATGTAAAATAGACAAATTCGGGCTGAACTGGGATTTCTAGAGGCAGGTACGACACCAGGCACGGCGTGCCTGACGACCGTGCCTCCGGAGCACTTCGCGTGTTTCGCTTCCAGGCACGGCGTGCCTCCCTGGTAGGCACGACCGTGTCTTCCACATGCATGGCGTGCCTATATATTGGTCAGGCATGACCGTGCCTTCGTTGTTTCTTCGTTGGGGTTTTCTCTAGGCATGCACGGCGTGCCTAGCTGCTGGGCACGGCCGTGCGTGGCCTTTTCTCCATTGTTTCAAAGGTCGATCCAAAGGTCTTTTCTTCATCGTCGTGAACCTCCCGGTTGCCTCCAAAACTCTCGAATCACTCTCGAATGCTCATCAACTCATCCCGATTGCTTCTCAAGCGCCGATGCTGGACTCTAATTTCCTGATTTTGACTCCAAACAACATAAAACTCGAACCAACGCCGGATAAATATAACTTGAGCTAAAATTGAGACTTGTGACACCTAAAAGCTAGGAAAACCATCAAAAGCCGATCCCAACACGCATCAAATGCGTGTTGTAATACGAACTTATCAGATTCCCCCACACTTAAGCTTTTGTTTGTTCTCAAGCAAACTGAATTACTTTATGTTCCTCAAGCAAACTTATCAAGAATGGTTTCAAGCTGGAATTATTCATACACTTTATGTTCCCAATCAACACCAACTCGCAGACTTACTTACCAAACCCTTGGACAAAGCTTCTTTTCATTTATCATTATCCAAGATGAGTTTATAGAATTTGTACTCTCCTCTTGATGGGGGTCTTGGCATTCAAAAAGTGATTCATGCATACATAAACATGACATGCACATGTATGCATCAGCTGGTACTGAAGCATGTGGATCCAAGAAAGATTCTAGAAGCATCTAGTTAGTTTGACTAGTTGTTAGATTAGTTGATTCTGTTACACATATGTGATCACATATAAATGTACTTCTTGCGTACAACAAAATATACTGAATATCCACATTACTCTGAAAAATGCTTCAAAGCTCATCAATGAACGTTTATCAGTTTATGGCTTTTCTTCTCTTTCACACATAATACTCCTTGTGTGTGTTTACATGATAGTCTAGCTAAGAAATTCAAATTCTACATATATCCTTCACATTAGTTAATTACGTGTCCAGTTTGTCCACTGAACCAGATTCTCTTTTTTTGCACGACCACTGAACCAGATTCTAATAAAGTTAATCGTTAAAATAACATACCACAAAAACATAAAATTTCTAAGTTTTTTATACTCGACCGGGTAGAGGACCGAGGGCCATGGAGGTTATTTGCTCTACGGGGAGGGAACGTCGTGATCTGAGGGTCGCATTGGGTAAAACAAATAAAAGTAGTTTTACGTTGTAGCAATCGAGGCGTTTTAGTCAAGGCCGGTCTTGACAATTTATAAGCCCGGGACAAAAGACAAAAAATAGACCCCTAATTATATACTAGTACTGAAGTATAATGTAAGAATGTATTGCAAAAGTTTCATTATCAAAAATAAAATTCGTTATACAAGTAAACATTTTTGTCCATAGAATTACTCGGTATCATAAGCCATACAAAACAATTTTTTAGACATTCTTAGAAGCAAAATTGTCAATAATACTATTAATTTTTAATTCTTGACTTCTGTGAGCTAGGAAGGTAGAAACTCATCTGGTCGTGTTTTGTGTGTGGCTCTGAAGTTGTGGCTAAGTCTACGGACATGAGGATTGTGGGATAACTTTTACGGAGTATTAGAGTATAGGGAAATGATCTGGTCAGACATGCCTGATAAGATGTCCCATACAGACAAGTGCATTTGAGAAGCTTCCCAGTCGAATTTTTTGATTAAATTTTGCAAGGATGTTCTTCATAAAGATTAGATTATTTGCACAAAATTTTCAGTTTCGAATTCAATTGGAAAGTTAGTTAAATACTCCCTCCGTCCCGTTGGAATGTTCCCGTTCACTATTCATTGGTCAATTTAGGTCACTCCTAATCTTTTACTTTATATATCAAATTTTTATCAAATTGAACTTTTCTTGATCAGGTTTTGTAGCGGTTTTAATGTAGTTTCTGAATTTCTGAATATGTAAATTTTATTTACTAAAAATAAGCGGAGTGTGAACAGGGATCGAGTTGCTTTATCGTGAGTCAAGCATCGTAAACCGAACGGGAACATTCCAACGGGACGGAGGTAGTATGTTATTGAAAAACACTGTGCTTTTTTTTGTAGAAACATAGGAGCAATAGCTCCTATCTGTCATTAATGATCAAACGAGACTCGGATATCCCAAGTACATCATACAAAATGTGCAATGATAATCTAGAATCAGCATTAGAAATAGAATGAACACCAATAGGTAATCTATGGCCTAGGCTAGCTAAAAAGTCTGCTGCCCGGTTACCTTCTCGGTAAATATGCTTAACTCTGATAATCCAATCTTGATTCAAAAGCTCGCCAAACTGTGCGACCTCATAAGAATATTGGTGTGCATGCTCACCTTCTGCCAACAAAAGTTGAATAACTGCTTGCGACTCTAGCTGCACTCGTACCTGGCGGTATCCAAATTCCCAAGCAAATTATAATCCTTGCATAGCAATTCTCAATTCGGCTCTGGTTATCGAGCAAAATCCCAAGTTCATCGAGTACGCTGCTAAGCATCGACCATCATAATCACGAAACAACCCTCCTGCAGCTGCTCGTCCGGTCTCAGGAATAACCGACTCGTCAGAATTTAGAGCAACCCATGTGGGCGGCGGCAACGGCCAAGAGACATCCACCATCATTTTAGTTGGTAGACTGGTATGTGTGGATTGGTCACGTATCAAAGCCTCCTCAATAGACTCCGCCCAATGTTTGATACGTTGGGCAAGGGACTGGGGGTGGTGCGGGTATCCGAAAGTATAGCTTCATTTCTAGCCTTCCATAGAGACTAGCAGGTCACCCCGAAAAGAAGACTATTGCTCGTTGCCTTCAGGTGGTGTGTGATCCAAGGTAAAAGCGGGGCCTCCCAATTTGCCCGATCAACAGAAAGATAGGACGTAATTAAAGCATATATAAAACACACTTTTGAGGAAGCGGTCAAGCCTAACTGGTCACTGACTCACTCTCCCTTACGGGAGGCCTCGGGTTCGAAACTCAATAAAGTGAGTTTCAGCCCCAATTACTCCAGACCCCCCAGCCCCCCTCCCCCAGACGCCCCCTGGAGTAAAAAAAAATTACAAAGCACACTTTTTTTCAATAATTTATTTAGCACACTTCCAAATTGAATTTTAAGCCTAAATTTTGTAAGCCTTATCGATCTACACTAAATGAAAAACATGCTAACAAACTTTCACCAAACAATTTCATCCAGAAGAACCTCAAATGGGCTTGGTTGTACAAAACTCCCGATCAAGCAGGCCTAAGTGAACAACACTATGTGTGTGTGCGCATATATATATATACTACTACCACTACTAAAGGAGTGTTTGCAATAGCTTAAAAAGCACTTCTCAGTTTTTGGTTTAAAAAAACACTTGTTTACCAAACACTACCAATTTTTACTTTCTCGGCTTGCGTGTGAAAAGTGTTTTTCCCTTTTCTGTTACACAAAAAAACACTTATTTTACCAAACACTACCAACTTTTACTTTTCAAAATCACTTTTTTTCAAACACTATAAACTTTTACTACTTATCACTTTTCCCAATCACTCCAAAAGTGTTTTTTTAAGTAGAAGCAGTTGCAAACACTCCCTAAATAATTTATGAAACCCTCTTCTTGGTGGGTCCTGGGCAACCGCCCAACCTGCCCCGGTATCAGGACCGTCCCTGTTCATAGTAACTTTAGTTTGTTTTACCCATAAGATTTATCTGGAAAGTATTTAAATAAAGTTCCGTATTTTTATTACATTCAAACTTGTATCACCTCAGACGCCAAAATATTTAATTAGCATTTCCTCGATTATATCACAACTATTGCTAGTGTTAGACGAAATTGATAATAGAGGACAATCCATATCAGGCCGGTCTGACGGGAACAACGGTCAGACCGAGGTTATTTGGGGCTCTTTCAGGTAAAAAAAAATTTATGAATCTTTTTTAGCATGCTCTTCATCAAGTGTAGAGTAACTCCACAAAATGTAAGCTTAAAATTCATTCAGAAAGTCAGTTAAATAAATTGTTGAAACATACTGCCCATTATTTATATACATAAAGCACACTATGTTTCAATATTTTATTTAACTGACTTCCCGGTTGAATTTTAAGCTGAAATTTTTTGGAAATAATCTAAACTTGATGAAACACATGTTTAAAAAAATTCCCCAAAAAAGTTCACCGATAAGCGCCGTCAGGCTGGCGTGATGAGAACGCTACTCATTCAAAATAATACTCCATATTTGTTTTTAGTGCCGTATATGTACACTGATGCTTAGTATTGTACAGAGTGAGGGTGGCAAATGAGTTGGGAGCTGGGAGTGGAAAAGGAGCTAAATTTGCGGCAATGGTATCAGTGGTACATTCAACTATCATTGGGTTGATCTTTTGGGTGCTAATCCTGATCTTTGACGACAAGTTGGCCCTAATTTTTACATCGAGCGAACCTGTCCTAGAAGCTGTCAGCCACCTCTCAATTCTCTTAGCTTTCACTATTCTGCTCAATAGCATTCAACCAATTCTATCAGGTTGTTAATAAAATATAAGAGTCTATTTAGTGACGTACACTGAATCAGTCAAGTCGGTTAAAACTGGTGAAATTATGACTGAAGCGCCTGAATTGACTAAATATGCTTAATTATGAAAAAAATATTTTAAATATATGATATAACGTAATATTTTTTATTAATAAAATAAGAATATAATTTTATGAAAAATAGCTAAATTAATCATTTTTCATCAATTTTAACCCATCAGCTAGCAAAGATACTTCAACCTCAATCGTTTTGATTATCATCCAATTTCCAAGCAAAATCAAAGGACACACATTTGACAAAAAGTTGGGTGATAATCCGAAAATAATAATTACCAAACCGCTTAAGGGGTGTTTGAAACCCATTCTGCTTCTGCTTCTTTTTAAAACGCAGTAGAATCATAATCAGTTTTCCAGAAGCTGATCTCCCTCATCTTCTGAGGAACTGCTTATATGAGTAATTTGGAGCATCCAGAAGTACTTCTGCACTTTTACTCAAACACTCTAATATTTGATTCTGCTCCCTAAAGGTGCAGAAACAGTTTTAAAAAGAGGATTCAAACACCCCCTAAATCAATCACCGAGTATGAAGTATGTTTTCCTTGTAAATATTTATGGCTTAACGTGTTGTTTTGCTGAGGGTAGCAAAAAATTATTAGGATGCTGAGTAGAGAGATTTTTATTTAACTTTTTACAGTACATAATATTCAAATATATAATACAGATTTTATTAAATTTGAGTTGGACCTGTATACAGATTTTTTTATATAACATTTTATAATTGAAGGATTTTACTAAATTTGGATTATTGCACCCTAGCTACGCTTATGATTTCTTATGAATAGATACTTAAAAACCTTGTAGGGGTTGCTATTGGATCTGGATGGCAAGCATATGTAGCTTACATAAACCTTGGATGCTACTATTTACTCGGACTCCCTCTTGGCATTATAATGGGATGGGTGTTTCACCAAGGCGTCATGGTAAGCATCAATCCTCAAATATACGATAGTACTCCCTCCGTCTCAAATTGAGTAGCAAAATTGACTTTCAGGATCAAACATAATCATTTTTTTACTTAATTAAGATATCAATTCTTAATAAAATTTTAATTTGAATTTTGCAATTTTGAAGACATTTTAATGTAGTTTTGAAAGTGTAAATTTTAATTATTAAGAGTTAATTTTTGAATTCTTCTTTTATTAGTATAATTTTTATTGTTCAAATTTCAAGAGTTAATATAACTTTAAAGTCTGTACTATGTATGTACTTCGCGTGTAATTGAGCGTGTGTAATTTTTCTGAATAAGTTAAAGTAGAGCTTAATGAACACTGCAGGGCATATGGGCTGGAATGATCTTTGGTGGAACTGCACTGCAAACTCTAATATTGTGTTTGATCACACTTCGATGTGATTGGGAAAAAGAGGTAAAGAACCCTTTACAAATGCATGGTTTCACTCATCATCAAAATCTCCACCATTGCCATTAATATTCCAACTACTTTTGTGAATATTAATATTATTATTATAATATTATATGATCAAAAAATATTATTATTATTATTACTACTTTTATTATTACCATGTTTTTTAAAGGTTTGAATTTATTAAGAGAATTACCTTTAAATATTACTGAAGTACTTCTTCCGTCCCAAATCGAGTTGCAAAATTGAATTTTTTGAGTCAAACATAGCTATTTTATTCACTTAATTAGGATATCAATTCTTAATTAAATTTTAATTTGGATTTTGCAACTTTGTATATTTTTATGTAGTTTTAGAATATGTAAATTTGAATTATTAAAATTGAATTAATTATTATCGATACGGAGGATTTAACTTTAACATTGTTTGACAAAAAAATGTTGACTTCGCAAAACAATTTGGAACGAAAATAGTATAACTTATTGATAAAAATATTACTATAGTTACAATGCATAGACACTGTAGTGATAAAGTTAAACACAATTATGATTACTAAAGTTACTATGATAGTCACTAAAGCATATTTTTGTCCACAAGCTTATTCTGGTCACATATATATTTGTTATTATTTCTTTTGTTAGAAGTAATGAAATAGTATAGCCGATGAAGAAATAAAATTTGACATGCAACTAAGCTAGTAAAATATAAAAATACTAAGGACAGAAAGAAAAAAAAACTCTTATGCTCATATAGCTTGAGCAAAGTGCACCCAAGCTCCTATCTCGCCCATTGCATTATTTAGAGAAATCCTAGCAACTCGAATCCCAAAATGCTCCAAATTGTACAAATTTAGCTTCCCAAATATCTTTAAAACATTATGAACCCAAATAAAATGAACTTATTGTTGATCTATTTTTACTTGAATGCAAGCACTCCTAAATATTAACATTACTATTACTATTAGCGATAGTAGCAATAGTACTGTCATTAATATTACGGAGTATTGTATTTTTGTTGTTATTGCGGGTTTTGATATATTCCTTTATTAATTTGTATTATTAATGTATACTACTTGTTGAAATGTAGGCTAAGAAAGCAAATCAACACATTCAGAAGTGGGAAGGAGTGGATCATAACAAATTGTAGAAGTGGGGTGGAGAAACCCAACCCAACCAACTCAAAAAATCATTATTGGTCCGATTTTCTTATGGTCCAGATAATTTACTAGCCTAAACATAAAATATTCAATTCGGACCAAAGAAAACCACAACTATTACCCAAATTTTTCTCTATCATTCAACATTGTTTACAATTGTTGAGTAATAATTAAGTCTTTTACTTCTCGGGAATTCCCTAAATAGGGGTAAAAAAGTTTTTAAATTCTAAAACATAAATGTCATGTTTTTTATTCCTAAGTAGGAGTAATTTCTACCAAGTTTGGCATCATCAGGCCTTAACATGGCTGTTTCGGTCAAGTTTTTTTTCAAACTTGGCAAATATTACTCCGATTTAAGGAATAAAAACATGAAGATCCTATTTTGGAATGTCAAGCGTTTTTACTCCTATTCAGATCAATTTTTATTTACTTTTTATAGGAAAACGTGTATAAGATACTATGTAATAGAATAAACAAACAATGTTGATAATAATGAAGTCTTTTGCTTTTTTGGGAAATCGTGTATGTGCTAATAGAATAAAGGTTTAAATATGTTTATAGTCCTCGTAAATATAGTATATCTTATTTTACATCCATGTATAATTACTTTTTTGTTTTCAATCTCTGAAATTGATGTTGAATTTCTTTTTAGTTAATCACTGATGATAATAATCGCTGTTTGATCTCGAAATAACCCCGACCAATAGGTTCTCTCTAATCTCTATTATGCTTTTCAAAAAGTATTTTATTTCATTTTTTAGAAGGTTTTTAATACATATTTTTAAAATGTGAATAATTAGTTTTGCATTGTTTTAACTCTCATATTGACCTCAAAAAATTTATAAAATGAGAAATTTAAATATTTCTAGTAGATTTATGCAACTGACAATAACTCTTTGTCTAAGCAGAGTGGTTGTAGAGTTAGTGATGGACTAAAAAGTGCATATAACAGGGATGAAAAACAAAGGAAAAAATATTTTGCAAAGACCTAAGACAAATTTTGAAATATTTAGAGGGACTCAAAAAATATTTAAGCCTTAAATTAAATCTCTCTAAAACTTTATTTGTGATATAGGTCTCTTGAGACCAGCCTAATATGTCTTTAGATCTTTATTTATGGATTTTTATGCTAATTACATAGATGTTTCTCTCATATCATTCATATCAAAATTTTTCGAAAGAAAATGTTTCACCTCATGTAGCATAACAATAACCATTAGTTGCAAGAAAAATATCATCCACATATAACACAATAAAACAGATTTTGCTCCTACTAGTCTTTAGATATGTACATTGATCCATGATGTTTTCATGAAAACCAAATGAAGTAATAATCTCATTAAATTTAAAATGAAAAAAGGTCAAATAAGCCCTTCAATTATCCGTCACCTGAAAGCTCATGTTTGTACATTATAAAGATACAAACTCCTTTTCTCATGTAGTTATCCAACAATCATTTGAGTATATAAGGCACAACATGAATTTTGAATGCATCATAAAAAACATGAATTTTGAATGCCTCAACATTAGAAAGTGAAGGATTTTTTTACATTATCTCAGGAACTTCACTTTTTCCTGCAAAAAAACAGACCATAACCAAACAATCAAGAATACAATCACAAACAATAGCCTGGAACCAAACAAAAACACTACGAGCGTGAGACTTCTTTTCGGGAGAATACAACCATGCACATATATTATGTGCAATGATAAATAAAACAACAATTTTTAAAGCTGTTAGAGCAGACATTGTCCTAACTGAGGCACTTTATGGTTTCCAGTTTATCCTGACCCACATAGATAATAGGCAACTCCTCATTAAGTCACAATCTGGTGAAGTTGTTAAACTTGATGAGTTCAAGTGGCAACAGTACGCAACAAGAGGCATATGAAGAAGATGAAAATATGCACGGTGGTGCTGGTCGGAGGGCAGGGACGGATCCAGGATTTTGAATCGAGATATTACCCAAAATGAGACTAAAAAAGTTTTGAAATTCCAAAATAGGACTTCCATGTTTTTATTCCCAAAATAGGACTAATTACTGTCATGTTTTGGCAGTACCAGACTTCAAACATGGCAGTATTTTCCAACTTTGGCAGTAATTAGTCCTATTTTGGGAATAAAAACATGACAGTCCTATTTTGGAATTTTCAAACTTTTTTAGTCCCATTTCGGGAACAATCCCAAACTAATCAAGGGGGGCGAATTTTTTTTCATTAGTGTAGGGAGTGAAAAAAAATTGCTGGTAAGCGGGATGGAAAAAATATCGCTAGTGTAGCGGAGTGATTTTTTTTCGCCAGTGTAGGGTTCTGCGGCTAATTTTCATTCAAAAAGTTCCTTTAGTACATACAGAGTACTACATAAGTGCTTTAGAAAAAAGTATTGATACATTAAAGCTTAAGAAATGACAAGTCAGAGGAAAATTATTTGAAAATAAGAAAGGATATATAACATTTTATGATATTATTTTAAGGTAAAGAGGTTAAAATTAAAGGTACACATCAACCAATGCTTTTTAAATAACTCATGTCTTGTTTAACAACATGAATCTTAACAGAATAAGTAATTGGTTTTTGAATTGAGATTTTTGTCTACCAAGGAGGGTATTTGTGGGTCATGATGAGTTTTCTTAATATTACAATAGTATGTATGAGATTATTATACTTAAAATAATATGATACATAGTAATGTTAATTCATGTATATGGTGCATATTATATTTGTATTAATGCTAAAATAAGTTAAAGTATTATATATCTATTCAACAAATTGTTTTTAGAAAGTAAGAGGTAAATGAAGTGTGTAATTTAATGCCAACAAACATTTATACTATTTAAGTACTGTATCTGATATTCAATATCGTTTGATATTGTACAAAACTTAGTACTAATTATCTAATAAAGATAATTAAACATTACAAAACTAAGAATTTTTAGGTATCCTAAGTCTTAAACAATGAGTTCTATTGTTCATTTTGTTGGTCCCAAAATAAGGATGTATTGAACAGCAAAATACGATCTATGACAATATAGGTAAGGTCTAGATAATGATATGATCAATCTAAGAGCAATAGAGCCTTACGCTATACTATCGAGAAGTATGAAAACCTTTTAGAGAATAAAATAGTACTGTATTGCTGATTATTCTTGGTCCTGTACCACAAGTACGCGTATATATAGGCGCAGGTACAGGTACCGAGAATGGTAACCTAGAACTCTGGGCCTAGGCCTTTTTGGGCCTTAAACCCTTAGTTGGATTTATTACATCATAAATACATTAAAACGTTAATCTATTCTAGATAAATAAACAAGACATCAGACAAGCTTGATCACAATTAATATTTTTCCTCAACATTCTCCCCCTTTGTGATCAAGTGCCGTCTTGCTTCTTCTTCTCTTCACTTTTGAGTTTTATAATAATTCTTTCTGAGATTAAGTGCGTGCTCATAGTTTCTGAGTGAATTTCTTCTATCAAGTTGCTTTTCGATGGCCTGTAGGATGTTGTCAATTCTGTGTGCCTCTTTTAATTCAGCATCTGTGGCATCTGCATACTTCTGCTGTCTTTCTTTAAATGCTTCTCTGATCGGTTGCAGCTTCTCTTTCACAATTTTCAGGGTTCCGTCACAGTATTTGTTAATTTCATCAATGAATAGCATACGTTTCTCACCATTGTGGTTCAGATAGATAAGCGTGATTGGACTATCAAAGATGTAATACTCAGGAAAGTCTTCCAATTCTTGTCCATACAACTTTGGTCTTGTGAGATTCGTCTTTGGCATGTTTGTTTCAAGAGCCATCTGAAGATCATGAGAGGCAAAGAATTTGATTTGTCTGATCATAAACCGCTTGAGTGCATCCAGCCCATCTTGTGTAGTTTTGTCACGAATGCCTGGAATTTCCTGGAATGCAAGATACATCTGATAGATGTCGTCCATCTTTAGCATGTAGAGATCATTTTCCTTGCACGTGAATACCGTTCCGTCAGAGCGCTGAAGATGGTAGATAGAGAGTTTGATATCTTGAAAGTTGGTTTCAGCCACATTGAGAACAGCCCAGACAGGGTCCTTGGCTGTTTGAAGTTCGTGTTGCCAGACTTCTCTCTGTTTTCCTATATAGTGATGACTAAGTAGAAACAACTGTCCGCCCTTGTTTTGTCCTCGTAGATGGTTAAGGCCACAAATCTTCAGTTCATCCAGTTCTCTGACCTTATCCTCTTTTCGCCAGATGTTTTCTCTGATTTCCTCTTGGAAGGGGGCGTTGATGTCGATCTTTTCCCAGGGCTTTTCATTTCTGGGCATTTGAGCCGCTGTTTGTCTAATGATTGACTCAAGCTCCTTGGGTGGTATCTCATAGTTTTCTCCCTCCTTGAGTTCATCTTGATCAAGTAGAATCACATCAGTAGCACAGTTGACTAAGAGATCTCTGAGATATGCTCTTCGCTGTGATTCATCTACATCTGTCCAGAGTTCAGACCATTTGTTGTGCACCAGCATTTCCTCAAGTTCATCGTGCTTTTGCTCATTGTAGTAGTTGGAGGGAGCCTGCTGCTGCTGCGGTGACATGTCTGGCGTAGCATCGGGATCCTGGTGAGACTTGTAGAGATCCTCAATTATCTCAACACGATGCTCTTGCGCAGAGACCAGACCTCTATACTTCGTTACATGCGGCCAATCCTCCCTTGGCTGAGAAAGTGAAACACCGGGATCCTCAGGATTGCCCGTTGTCATCAGTTTCGAACTAGGTTCTAGCTGATGGCCTGAGTAGGAAGATGTACTCGTGGTAGCATCATCAGGACTTCCATTCCGTCCTTGGTTAACATCTATAGGAGATGCACCTCGGGATGTTATGTCTAGCTCGACCATGCTAGAAAGAGTGGCTAGGGATTTATGACTGGCCGAAGTAGTGGGTTGATCATTGGTAGAGGTGGAGGGTTGGTTTGGCTTTGAGGGTTGGCTAGTAGAAGCAACATGCTCAAGTATCCGTTGGCGCTTGTTCTCCCCCTCATGAGAATCCGAATCATCGGGATCCTCATGTGAACGTTTAGCGCCACGGAGACTGTCACGGCATGTGTTCTGTGTATCTAGAGCATGGAGAAGGGCTTTTTGAAGAGGGGTGAGGTTGCCTTCTTCCACGTCTAGTATACGGTCGTAGATCTCGGCTACAAGATCCTCGAAGGGTACAATTGTTAGGTTGAGTTTGGTCGTTGTAGGGGAGAATACTAGTTCTGTATCCTGGGTTCCCCTTGATGTGGATGGTTGTTGGTTTTCTATGGCTAAAGGTTTGGAAATAGGAATGGAAATGGGTGGGGCTGTGTTGTTTGAGGTTTGGGTGGTATATCCTGAACAACTGGGGTACTTCCAGAGTCTTGTGCATTAGCGGTTATTGCTTCATGCACCCATGGCTTAATGGTAGACTCTAGAAAGCTATTCAGATATACGAGAATGTCTTCGGGGATAATGGTACCAGTTACAGGGGTTGTAACTGTTGTCACAACATCAGTGAAGATAGCTGATGTGTGGCCTGCGTTCAATGATCGAGGCATTGTTGGCGTAGCAGGGCTTCCGACCA